CCGGTGGAGTTTTTCTTGGAAGCCTGGGAGTGGGTTGGTTCAGACCTAATCAAAGCTGTGCAGAGCTTCTTTACTTCAGGTTTTTTGCCTCCCAGCTTCAATGCTACTGCCATCACTCTCCTTCCCAAAGTTACTGGTGCTGACAGGCTCTCACAGTTTCGACCTATATCCTGTTGTACTACGGTCTACAAAGTGATTGCTCGTCTCCTTAAACAGAAGTTGAAGTTATTCATCTCTGATACTGTTCAAGGGAACCAGGTTGGTTTTGTTAAAGGAAGACAACTTTGTGAGAATGTTTTATTAGCTTCAGAACTGGTGGAGAATTTTCATGTTGAAGGTCTTATCACTAGAGGTTGTCTGCAGGTGGATTTGGCTAAGGCTTATGATAATCTTGATTGGCAATTTCTCTTGAATGTTCTTAAGGCTATTGATCTCCCAATTAGGTTCATTGGATGGCTGAAGGGTTGTTTTACTACTCCTAGCTTCAGCATCGCTCTCAATGGGGAGCTAGTGGGATTTTTTAAAGGCAAGAAGGGTTTAAGACAAGGGGACCCTATCTCATCTCTTCTGTTTGTTCTTGCTATGGATGTTTTATCTAAACAACTTGATAAAGGGGCCATGATTCAAAGTTTTGGTTTACATCCTAAGTGTGATGCCCCTCTCATCTCTCATTTGAGTTTTGCAGATGATATCTTAATTTTTTTTTGATGGATTGGAAGGTTCTTTGCAAGGCGTCCTCACCATTTTGGAAAATTTTAAATCTGCTTCTGGCCTTGGTATAAATAGAGATAAATCTGCTTTGTTCCTTGATGGTGGTAATTTTGATTTGAATAAGCTGGTTTGTGATCAGATGGGCTTGCAACATGGTTCCCTTCCAGTTCGCTACCTAGGTGTTCCCCTCACGTCTCGCAAGCTCAGGAAACAGGATTATCAACCTTTGGTAGACAAGATTATGAACCGGTTTAATTCGTGGACTGTTAAGCACTTATCGTATGCAGGTAGACTCCAATTAATTAAATCTGTCATCTTCTCCACTGTTACTTTCTGGGCCTCTATTTTCTTGCTACCTAAACAATGTTTGGAGGAAATAGAGCGCATGTGTAATGCTTTTTTGTGGAAAGGAGTTCCTAACTCAGCTAGAGGTGCAAAAGTGTGTTGGGATTCAGTTTGCACTCCCAAGGAAAGTGGCGGGCTTGGCTTGAGGAGGCTAGTGCCTTGGAATAAGGTACTAGGGTTGAAACTGATTTGGATGCTCTTTACTTCAAGTGGCTCTCTATGGGTGTCATGGGTTAGACATCACCTGATTGGGAACAGAAGTTTCTGGGAACTTGAGTATAATAACTCTGGAAGTTGGATATGGAAAAGTATTTGTAAGCTAAGACCTCTTGCTCGCCCCTTTTTGGTGTGTGAGGTGAACTCAGGGATCTCTTGCAACTTCTGGCTTGAAAACTGGACAGGCCTAGGGCCTCTTATTGATTTAACTGGAGACATAGGCCCTCGAATCACAGGTTTGAGCAGAAGTGCAGTTGTTAGAGATGCTGTGCGCGATGGGCATTGGTGGCTTTCTACTAGTAGAAGCCGTAATAGTGTTATTCACCTCCTCAAAGACTGTCTCCCGCCTCCTAGTATTGTGAATATTGATGTGGATGCTCCAGATGATGTTTTCCTTTGGAAAATAGGTGACTCTGATGCAGTCAAAGTGTTCTCCACTGCTAGAACTTGGGATTTTCTGTACCCTCATGGCATTAAAGTGGACTGGTTTGAAGCTGTTTGGTTTAAAGGTAGAGTTCACAAACATGCCTTTCTCAACTGGCTGAACGTCAAGCATCGTTTGCATACGCGTGACAAGCTTCTGCGCTGGGGTTTAACCGTCCCTTCTAGCTGCCTTCTTTGCAACGCTCATGATGAAACTAGGCAGCATTTGTTCTTTGAATGCTCTTTCTCTTCTGTAGTCTGGGGATTCTTTACTTCCAAAGCCCATGTTTCTCCCCCATTTTTGTTTGATGAAGGGGTTAGATGGCTAAAGAATCCTACTCAAGACAAGAATACAGCCATGATTCTTAGGATGGCCTATCATGCCTCTGTTTATCTTATTTGGCGAGAGCGAAACTCGCGGCTTCACACAGGTTCTATAAGGCCTCCTAATGCCATTCTTCTGGAAGTCAAAAATATCGTTCGCTCCCGCCTTGACCCGCTATCAAGAGAGCAGAGAGTTGTGCCTCCAAATATTTCTTATCTTGCTTCGTGGTTTAGAGACTTTCAACCTCTCAATCTTTTGTAGGCCTCTCTCCGTCTCCTTTGCTGTGGTGTCATCGTTTTACTGAGATGGCATCGTTTCTTCTCAGGTAATCTGGTTTGTTTCCCTGTTGTTTCTCCTTTCTTCTTCTCCTTTTGTGTATCTCTCGTCTCTTCTCTTTTTCTCTTCTTCTTCTCTTCCTTTCTCTCTCCTTTGGGCCTGTGTGCCATCTTAGGCTGTTGGTGGCCTTGTATGCTGGGTCTGTGTACCTACTGGGCTTTAATGCCTTGTAATTTTTTGTGGGCCTGTGTGCTTCTAAGGGTTTTGTACCTTGTAAGGTGTTTTATTCTAATGAAAAAAATAATAAAAAAAAAATAAATAAAAAAAGAGTAAAATTGCAAAAATGACGATTTTGAAAGTTTTTTGTCGGCAAAACCTAGTACAAATAATGAAGAAAGAAGAGAAAATGTAGATTATTTACAAAAATGATTAGTAAATAAGTATATAATTAGTTATAATAAAAACGATTAAAAAATGTTTACAAAAAAGGGTAAAAAAATGCATTTACACGATGTATTAATTCGTTACAATAGATTTTTACTCGTTAACAATTTACCTAGATGTATTATTGTATTTCAAATTCAGTTTCGATTTAATAAAGTCGGTTGTTGATCTTTACTATCATTGTTTGCATAAATTTTTAAAATTATCGTTTTGGAACAAACTAAAAGTATCTGAGGAACACTGAAGAATGATTTGTAGGAAGGAGTTTGTCAGACTAACAGGAACGTATGGAACATAGAGGGGTCATTTGTAATCAATATGCTTTTCAGATCTCTATTAACAGCCTATGGAGAGAATTAAGGTAATGGCCGTCATTATGGAGAGCCAAAACTCACCACGCTTTTCTTTGATTATAAACTCACAAGCTTATAATTGATAAGAACGTTCGTAACCGGTAAAAAAAAGTTCAATTACGTTATTGTTTCCAAACTTATACTCCTTCCGTTTCATAAAGAGTGTTGTGTTAATGTTATTATCTTGTTTCACAAAGAGTGTCATTTTGTGTTTCTAATACAGTTTAAATAACTTAATCCCTTTTTTATCCTTATTATCTCGACTTATTAATTAGAGAAAGGGTAATATGTAGTGTATTAATAAAGATTAAAATGAAATTGGTTTATTTTTCTTAATCTGTGTGAAAGATGCTATAATAACATTCTTTGTGAGGAGTAGTCTTTTCTAAAAACACTTGATTATTTTGCAAGATGTAACATTTTCAAAAAAAAAAATCGAACTCTTTTTTATCTATTGTTGCATTTATTTATTCTAAACACGTTTTTTTATTAAATATAATTTTATATTCATTAAAAATATATTTTAATGGCAACCTGCTATTGAAGATATGATTGAATGACATGTCTTTTGACTTTTGAGTATAGTTACAAATATCAAAAATTATAAGATTTGAAGATTTGAAGATATAGAAAATATGGAATTTACGTTACCTACAAGATGTGGCTGCATGAACTGCCAAGATCCTGATTATGTAGTAAAATACCGACAAAATATAGTTTTAACTTTTAAAGCCCATAGACACGACTATACGTAAATCGAGCAAGTATATATGTACTTGAAATGGGTCTTTTTAGTTTTAATTTTACGATGCAAATATGTGTATGTACAAATATAGAAATGTGATTCTTTTCATTTATATTACAAGTCGATATTTGTCTTATTAAACCGATGGAAGTTTTAAAGATTTGACCTCTATATACCTTTCTTAAATCATGCATGCATGACACAAACACAAACTACATTTTTCCCAATTGGTATCACTTTTATCTCTTACGTACAAGTTACAACGCCCACCCATAATAATAATAATAATACTGTATTATTCAGTATTCACGATTTAACTTCACATAATTAAGTAAATAAGTATACGACAGTCGACAAATAACGATCACAATGGGACATATATGAAAGTATAAGGCCTCAAGCGCACAACGGGAAAACAAGCATGGCCCCCAAATACCTTGTAATAATGAAAGTTCTTCTCACCAGCAAAAGACGACAAAGGGGCAAAAAAACAGAACTCTTATCTGCAACACAAAGACACAAATATGCAGAGTGTAAGGAAGGTGAAGACGTCACTCCCAGCTGGTTCTAGCTCCGACAATCGTACTATCAAACCGGTGTGGTCCTATTGTTGCAGAAGAGAGTGGCTAGATGCTTGGTAAGTGTAATCAGATGATCTGATCATTAAGAAAAGATCTAGATTTGTTCTTCCCGTTGTATAAGACCAAAATTATTGGTAAGATTTTAAATAAAATAGCTTCTAGTGTAATTTTTACACTTAAGATCTTACTTTTAATGGTGCCCTAAGTATAAGCTCCATCTATCTATTGTCATTTTTGAATAAGCAATATAGATCTAATAAATTATTATTCAGCAGAAAAATCCTTTCTTTCTCATCTATTCTCAATATATGGCACATCACATGATATCTAATATATTGATAATTTTATTCGTGCTATGTGTATTTTGGTTAACAAGTTTCGGTATAATAACATTTCTTTCGTCGTTATGCATTATATATATAGTATTATTCAAACACAAAAAAACGTGTTTCCAATAAATGCAACAATAGAGACCCAAAGGAGTCGAATTTTTTTTAAAAACGAATGCTAAATAATGTAGTAACTATTATATAAAGATCTGAGCAGTGCAAAAACTCTAAAGAAACAACAACAAAAAAAAAGAAAGTAAAACACCGATGGAGTCATCAACTGATCGTTCAACTCAAGCAAAAGCTTTCGACGAGACGAAAACTGGCGTGAAAGGGCTAGTGGATTCGGGTATCACAAAGATCCCATCGATGTTCCATGCATCTCCGGTTACTCTAGCAAGCATGCAAGCACCACCACCTCCTCATCATAAGCAGCTCACGATCCCCACCATTGATCTGAAAGGAGTAAGCGTTGACATGACCAAACGTCGAAACGTGGTGGAGAAGATGGGAGAAGCAGCTGAGAAATGGGGTTTCTTCCAAGTGGTTAATCATGGTATCCCCGAGGACGTGTTGGAGAGGATGATCGAAGGGACTCGTGGGTTTCATGAGCAAGACCCTGAAGCTAAGAAAAAGTTCTACACTCGTGATTACGCTAGAAAGTTTCATTACACGAGTAATTTTGATGTCCTCACTTCTCCCGGGGGCTGGAGAGACTCATTGGCTTGTTACACTGCACCAGATCCTCCTAGTTTGGATGAACTACCCCCCATTTTCGGGTAACGTTTCCATACGAATTTAGAAGTTTTAGTCTAGCTAGGTTTTTGAAGTGTATTTTTGGTATTCGTTAAAAATGGGTAAATGTTTTTGAACCTTGAGGTTTTTTAACAACAAATTTAAACTTAAGGTTGTTATAAAATCATTAATTAAATCTTGTAAAAATAAACTTGTGTTACTAGCTAGATTATATGATTGTAAATATTATATGTTGTTGGCTTGTTGGTATAATAATTTTCTTAGATTGTAATAAATAATTTAAATGAGGTAGCGGGGTGAGGGAGAAAAATGTACGGCGACGAAAACATAATGTATTATTGAAACTTTGTTGTTATTTTAATACGTGGTAGGGAGATTATGATGGAGTATTCAAAGAAAATGATGAATTTAGGTGAATTGCTCTTTGAGCTTCTATCAGAGGCATTAGGGTTAAGTCCTAATCACCTCAAGGACATGGACTGCACCAAATTTCAAGTGATGTTTGGCCAATATTACCCACCTTGTCCTGAGCCTAACCTTACTTTAGGCATATACAAGCACACTGACTTTTCGTTTATCACCATTCTTCTTCAAGACAAGATTGGAGGGCTTCAAGTTCTCCATGACCAATACTGGATTGATGTTCCTCATGTTCCCGGAGCTCTTGTCATTAACATTGGAGATCTTCTTCAGGTACTAAAGAAGAAAATGTTGTTCATTTCTCTCTCTATATATATATATATATATCTTGTGTTTCATATTTGTTTTTCTTAATGTTTTGCAGCTTATGACCAATGACAAGTTCATTAGTGTGGAGCATAGGGTGATTGCAAATAGATCAATAAAACCGCGGATTTCGGTAATTTGTTTCTTTAGTACTTTCATGAAGGAGAATCCTCAAGTGTATGGACCTATCAAAGAGCTTCTATCAGAACAAAACCCTGCCAAGTATAGAGACATAACCCTCACCGAGTTCTCAAACATGTTCAGATCATCAGTAGTGATCGATACTCCTCCATTACCCCATTTCAAGATGTGAGACAATTGGCCTTTTTACTACAAATTTGCCTTTATACTACAAATATATGCCAATTGGGTAATTTATCAAACTCTTTGTTGTCTTCCTCTTAAACTATCTCTTATGAAACCACTTAATCTTCCTTTCTCGTAAGGTGATATGCTATATGAACTATTTGATATTAATAATTAAGGCACAAAATGAAATTTACTACTATTCGTCTTCAAGCCATGATATAATACATCATCATCACATGATAATGCATATTATTCATTCAGAAATTATTCTTGTAATCTTCGAATGAGTATTGAAATTTGAAAAACTTACAAGCTACATTTAAAATAAATAAAAAAAAAAACTTACAAAGCATACACACAATAATCACTACGAGAGTTTCCACCAAAAAAAAATAAAAATAATAATCACTACGAGAGATATTAGAAACGGCGCCGTATTATTACATATATGGGCCTTTATGTATTAAATCTAAGCCCACTTAGTTTTATCCTGGACAGGCCCAATTATATGGACACCTTAAGATGGGTAGCTGCTGAGAAAGTGCTCCGGTTCTCTCTCATTCTCGTTCCTTCTTCTGTTCTGATTCATAGATCGCTCGGAACTTGGGGAAAACAGCGTAATTGGTAAAAATCTCGATCATTTCTTCAATTAGAAACAATTTCGAATGTGTTTAAGAATCTCAAAATCAATATTATTTTGTTTAGATTGTCAATTAATGGTTGTTGTCTCTCTAGGTCTTCTTCTCTCCGTGTTTGATTCTGATGCAACCCTTTTTTGTTTGAGGTGAAATGGGTTACCTTTGAATTATCTCAGAGGCAAAATTGAGTTTAAAGTTTGTAACTTTATCGTCTTTTGTATTGATGGTGTGTATATGCATTGTGTTTTATTCTGACTATTTGTGTTTGGTTTGGTTAGGATTATTTGAAGAAGGTACCTAGGGAGTGATTTGAGTATATTAGTGAGGATGTCTACGGTTGATGAGCCTTTATACCCGATCGCCGTCCTTATAGACGAGCTAAAAAACGATGATATTCAGCTTAGATTGAACTCCATTAGACGGCTTTCTATCATTGCACGTGCTCTTGGAGAGGAGAGGACTAGAAAAGAGTTGATCCCGTTTCTTAGTGAAAACAATGACGATGATGATGAGGTACTTCTCGCCATGGCTGAAGAGTTGGGGGTTTTTATTCCTTATGTAGGAGGCGTTGAGCATGCTCATGTTTTGCTTCCACCGCTGGAGACACTCTCGACTGTTGAGGAAACTTGCGTGAGGGAAAAAGCTGTAGAGTCACTTTGCAGAATTGGTTCTCAGATGAGGGAGACTGATTTGGTTGAGCATTTCTTACCTCTGGCAAAGGTTAGATAAGGGCAATTACTCCTGTTATTAATCTCTTTGGTTAATTTATTTTTCTCTTTCCATGCTCTGTGTAACTTAATCAGCCATGTGACATTGAGCTACACTCAAAGCAAAAGAACTAAGATTGTTTTGGGTCCTTCGCTATCCAAAGTTTGGAAATATGCTTTTGCCTTTTTGTTTCAGTATTTCCCTTTTAAGTTGTTTTGGGGAATCGGTAGGTTGTAGTTGTGTACATCTATTTTGGTTGATCCAAGAGAACACCATCAATTTTTGTTCTTCAGTAGCGTTCTTTTGGGTTGTGTTTGTGGTTTTGTTTGGGACCGTATAGGAACCAAAATGATGCTATACTCATAATGTGCAACTGACTTAAGCTTACTGAACACCGTCATTGTTTAACAGCGACTTGCAGCTGGTGAGTGGTTCACAGCCAGAGTATCAGCATGTGGAATTTTCCATATTGCATACCCAAGTGCTCCAGATCTGCTAAAGGCAGAACTAAGATCAATATACAGTCAACTTTGTCAAGATGACATGCCAATGGTGCGCAGAGCAGCAGCAACGAATTTGGGGAAGTTTGCTGCTACAATTGATTCAGCTCATTTGAAGACAGAGATTATGTCCATGTTTGATGATCTTACTCAAGATGGTATGTTTTCCAACCTTATATGGTTTCATTTTGCCAGCATATACCTCTTCAAAATTTCATCATGTCTGCTTATGGGGTTGACTAATGTAAAAAAAGGCTAGTAATAGGGTTACTGCATTGAACACTGAGCAATAGCTGAAACTAAGCAGCACTAGTTTTGTCCAATGTCCACATATGACTATATAAGTTTCAGTATCTTACTTGTATGATGATCGTATAGCTTTTAACCATCTTGTGGACATCAATATCAGATCAAGATTCAGTTAGATTATTGGCTGTTGAGGGTTGTGCTGCTCTTGGGAAATTGTTGGAGCCCCAGGACTGTGTGACACACATTCTTCCTGTAATTGTCAATTTCTCGCAGGTGAGTAAATGTGTGATTAGGATAAGATTTTCTGCTGATGAGCTTTATTGGAAAGCTGTAAGGCAGATATTTATGTGCTGCTTTATCTTGATATTTTGTCTCTGAGCAGGATAAGTCCTGGCGTGTGCGTTATATGGTTGCAAATCAGCTCTATGAACTTTGTGAAGCTGTAGGACCAGAGCCAACTAAGTAAGCAATGATGGTTGAGCTTAGCTTGGTTTAATGTTTTATTGATGTCTTTGTTGACCTCTATTTCTACAAATCTATATCAAATTTTATATTACTGGCTTCAGAGGTGGTACTGGAAGTTTATGTTTGTTGAGTCATCTTGATTGTTTTCTTTATTCTTGTTTATATTATTTTCTTATGTGCCTTGTGTATAAAGGACGGATTTGGTGCCTGCATATGTTCGTCTACTTCGTGATAATGAGGCTGAAGTTCGGATAGCAGCTGCTGGAAAAGTTACTAAGTTTTGTCGCATTTTAAACCCTGAACTCGCTATCCAACACATCCTTCCTTGTGTAAAGGTACATGCTTAGGAGTAGTTCATTGATCTCATATTGCGCAAAGGACCAATAGATCATTGGATTTTTCTTATGACTATTAGCTTATCGTTATATCTACCCGCAGGAATTATCATCAGACTCTTCTCAGCACGTTAGATCTGCATTGGCCTCAGTTATAATGGGGATGGCTCCAGTCTTGGGTAAGGTAAGCAGAATTAAAAATCGATACAGTGCGGCTCTCCTACCAGAAATACTGTCATCTATACAAAATTGCATTCGGCTGTATAGTTTGGAGTCAAAAAGCCCATAGTATAAGCAGCTTTCGCATCTTTAAGATAACGATTATTTCTTTGTTTGAAACCATGTATACATCTTCTTTTCCTTTGTCACTGTCATGTTTACTTTGAATGGAAGTAGCCCGCAGCCATAATCTATTAGTAAACGATAGAGCTAACTATATTTTTCTATATAAGATATGTTAGTTTGACTTTGTATGTTTTAACTTGGCTTTGATATTCATTGCAGGATGCAACAATTGAGCATCTTCTTCCAATCTTTCTTTCTCTGTTGAAGGACGAATTTCCTGATGTACGGTTAAACATTATCAGCAAACTTGACCAAGTGAACCAGGTTTGTTATGATCAAGTTACTTATCTTTCTGCATAACATTGAATTCAAGATATCCTGTTTTGGTCAAGTCAAAGACTACTTAACTACAACTTCTTTGTCCATCATTTTCAGATGATGATGCACTTTCTTTTGTCCTTTTCAATTGGCAGGTTATTGGGATTGATCTACTATCACAATCTTTACTGCCAGCCATTGTAGAACTTGCTGAAGACAGGCACTGGAGAGTACGCCTGGCTATAATTGAGTATATTCCCTTGTTGGCCAGCCAATTAGGTGTAGGCTTCTTTGACGATAAGCTTGGTGCTCTTTGCATGCAATGGTTACAAGACAAGGTGCTTCATTCTCTACCTCCATTGAATCATCAGATAATTAAATGCGTATTTTCTACAATTTAAAATTTTTGGTAACTTTCTATTGTGTAGGTGCACTCAATCCGCGAAGCTGCTGCGAACAATCTTAAGCGTCTTGCTGAAGAGTTTGGTCCTGAATGGGCAATGCAGCATATAGTTCCTCAGGTTTGTTTTGAAATCTTAAGCGTATGGTATATTTTTTTCTTCACTTTAATCCAACTCGATCATTTCGCTATTGTTTGTATAACTATATTTACTTGTGCAGGTTCTAGAGATGATTAACAATCCACACTATCTATACCGGATGACGATTCTTCGTGCAGTATCGCTTCTCGCTCCAGTAATGGGATCCGAGATCACATGTTCCAAACTCTTGCCTGCAGTAATAACTGCATCTAAAGACAGGCAAGTCTCTCTCTCTCTTTCTGAGAACATGAAATATCATTGAATCAATTCATTACTCCCAAGTCCCAATAGCTAACTAAAAAACAACTCTCTCCTCTTATCAGAGTTCCAAACATCAAATTTAACGTTGCCAAAATGATGCAATCTCTCATTCCGATAGTTGACCAATCGGTTAGTTACCCTTCACACATCATTGTCTTTTTTTGGTTCTCACAAGTAGAGAAAGAGCTTATGATTCCAATCCTCATTAGGGAATCAAAACGTCCATATATTCAAATATTGTTGTTTTTTTTTTGGTTGTGAAAGGTTGTAGAGAGCATGATACGGCCATGCTTGGTGGAGCTAAGTGAAGACCCAGACGTTGATGTACGGTTTTTCGCAAATCAAGCCCTCCAATCTATTGACAATGTGATGATGTCTAGCTAAAAGAAAAAATGAAAACAGAAAACACAATGTTGTGTGTTTGGTTTTCATGAGGGATTTGTAGACGATGCTTTCTTGTGTGTTATGTGTAGTGAACTTATACGTAAGTGAACTGACCGTACGAAGTCTGTCTGTCCATTGTTTCTCTCTGCTACTACTAGAAAAGGATAGTAAAAACACTAATAATGAGTATTATTATCCATCCTAGTCCGGAAGTATGGTCGCCCTTCATGGTGTGAAGCATCATAGTTACATTTTGTCTAACCCCTCAAAGATTTGATCCATTTCGCATCTCAACATTGTAGCTGATGGGATTCGCCTGGTTATCGATGAACCGTCACTTTTGAGTGTATCGGATTGTCGCTGATGGATGGGAGTCGCCTGGTTGACTCTATGTACCCACTGTATTATCCAGCCATTCATTCGTATAATCGTATCGATGAATGTTTGTTCAACCGTCTCTTTTCTGTCTATCGTTTTACGATTGAACGCCATGCCATTCTTGCTTTTCTATATCCTACACATTAGCCATAAGGGGAGAAAGCGTTTAGCCTTATCAATTTCATCATCCTTGTGAGGTTATGCTATGATTCTCATTGAAAAGAATCCTTAAAACCCAATAATGCTGATACTTGACCCGAGATAATGAGTTATTCGACCCGTAACAGATTCGGGTCGGGTCAAATCTCATCGTTGATAATATGGTATCATCAAGTTCCAAATTTGTGTATTTTCTCAAGCATTTCAATTTCATCGATGATCGATGGTGGATTGGTCTACACTCCCGAAGGATCTCTTAGACCTAATCTCAAAATCCCTAGATTCGTCCTTCGATCTCGTCCAGTTCCGTTCCGTATGTTCTTCATGGCGATCCGCCGCCGAGCCGAAACGTCCTCTCCCGACACATCACCTCCCGATCCTCCCCGATAACGGTGGTAGTCTCTTCCCTGACTCCGCCGTAGGGTTCCGCCTCTCGCACCGGAGTATCTTACTCATCAAGCCTCTTGAACCGCAGAGCGAGGCGGATTCGTTTGGGTGGCTGATCAAAGTCGAGGAAGACC